AAGCATGACCTCCGCTCTGTTGCAGAACCTCGGCTTCGTGATCAATCACCAGAAATCATCTCTCACACCGTCCCAGACGATACAATTCCTGGGATTCCAGATAGACTCTGTTCAGGCAGTCCTTCAACTTCCCGCATCCAAAATCAAATCCATAAAAAAAAGACATTTGGAAGTTACTGATATCACCATACCTCTGCCTGCGAGATCTAGCCCGCATCATCGGCTTGCTCTCTGCCTCAATACAGGCTATATTCCCTGCCCCACTGCACTACAGGGCATTGCAACGCCTGAAGACCCAATATTTACATCAGTCGACTTCTTACGCACACTCACAGATGAAGTCCGGCTCGAACTCCATTGGTGGCTACACCATATGGACGCTTGGAATGGAAGAGCCATTTTCGTATCCCAACCCGACTTCATTCTGGAATCGGATGCAAGTCTGTTCGGATGGGGCGCAACTTGCTCAGAAAGTTCTACAGGAGGACTCTGGTCCCACTCGGAACGAGCACTTCATATAAATTGCCTCAAACTGATTGCAGGCTCCTTCGCAATCCGCAGTTTCGCCAAGGATGTCTACAATTGTTCCGTGGTGCTGAAGATGGACAATGTGTCAGCGGTTTGTTGCGTGAATCATCTAGGAGGTTCCAAATCGAAGATGCTCTCAGACCTGACCAAAGAATTATATCAGTTCTGCCTAGACAGGAATATCTCCCTATGAGCGGAATATCTACCGGGATCAGACAACCTTGTCGCAGACTGGTTCTCCCAACATTGGAGGGACTCCAGCGATTAGCAACAGAATCCACAGATATTTCACCGTCTCCAGATCTAGCGGGGGCCATTCAACCTGGACCTCTTTGCATCTCGCCTCAACAGGCAGACGGACGCATTTTACAGCTGGTTGCCGGACCCAGCGTGCCTTGCAGTCGATGCCTTCTTACAGACGTGGCCGATGTCCGGGGCATATGCGTTCCCTCCATTCTCCATGATTCCACGCACACTACAGTACCTCAAAACTCAAGGTGTCAAGATAACACTAGTGACCCCGCTATGGCGGGCCCAACCATGGTATCCTTACCTCCTGGAAATGTCAGTGGACTTTCCCCTGCTGCTACCCACCGCCTGCGATCTCCTCAGGGACCCGGCAGGCAACTTTCACCCATTGGCAATCCAGGATCATCTCCAACTAGTGGCTTGGACCGTTTCAGGGGATCTTGGAATGTCTCAGGCCTTTCGACAACTGCTCAGGGACTCCTTTGGGATTCATGGGCCCCTGGAACCAGACGATCTTACATCTCTGCATGGCGTCTCTGGAGTTGCTGGTGTTTGGAAAGGAACTTTGATCCCTTTTCAACATCTATAATTAATATTATCAATTTCCTGTCGTCTCTGTTCGACCAGGGTAAATCCTACCGGACTATTAACGTGTTTCGGTCTGCTATTTCTGCAGCGCACGTTCCTATCGAAAGTTCTTCAGTAGGCAAACACCCTTCTGTGTGTAGACTCTTGCGGGGCATCTGCATTGCTAGACCCCCGAGGCGCTCTCCCTACGCCAATTGTCAGCCAAATTAGCTCTCCTCCTTTGCTTGGTCTCCTTCCGAAGAGTTTCCGACATCAGGGCTTTTCACTTTCATGCCCTCGATTTCACACCGGAAGGGGTGCACTTTCACATCACTAGACGCACCAAGACCAACTCATCTATGGTGAGCTATCCCTATTTTTCGGAGAAACCCCTCCTCTGCGTAGCCCGGTGTATAAGACACTATATCTCTCGCACTACCCCTCTCCGGGCACCTACTGGGCCCCTCCTGGTATCTTATGTGCGACCACACAAATCAGTCTCGTGCCCTACCATTGCACGTTGGATTAAATGGCTACTAGCCTTTGCTGGCATTGATGCGTCTTTCGGAGCTCACTCGGTTAGAGGCGCAGCTACCTCCTCTGCACTCATAGCTGGAGGTTCCCTAGCAGAGATTCTATCCTCCGCTGATTGGTCTAGAGAATCCACCTTCCGTACCTTTTATTTTAGACATTCTCCACACATTTCTCTGTCCATGCTATCTACGCGTTAAAATAGCAAATAGGAAGCCTCCTGTCTTGCCATAAAATTCATTATTATATGCTAAACCCGCTCTCAAATTGTACATTAGTTTTATTATATTCTATGTGTGTCACTCGCTCTACATACCACACAGTTAATTATCATAGGTTAGAGCTTACACTTAAATTGGAAGTCAGTTTCACTGCATTTAATTTGATTTTCTCTTGCCAAAGAGACCATACTTTCACGATGTTTCTCTTTTCTCCTAGTGTGAAGATCACTTGTCTTCTGTCTCAAATCTCCCTGCGGGTTGAACACTGTCTTCATCCTATTGGATACCTACACCGTTACCTACTCATCGTTCTAATGGTTCTACGTTTACATGGTTGACTCTACGGCTGTTCGGCTACATCAAGAAAGAGGAATTGGGAGGAGCCTGATGGCAGTTTATATTACTGTGATGCATGCTGATTGGTTAAACTTTTTACACTGCTGTTAACTGTTTCTTTACTGCTGGGAGTTACAGTAAAGAAAGATAAGCAAATATTCACCTCCTGTCTTTAATAAAATTTAAATTATTCGGTCACTACGAGTTAGAATAATCCCGAATTGACATATTCTCATAGTCCAGTAGATATAGGAGTGTAATTACTTGCATATTGTTTTGTATGATTTTATATTTTTTGCTAGCACATTGCTGTTTAGTCTATATATAATAAAGACCTTTTTATTTCACTATCCTTTGTGACATTTACGCTATGCTTTGTGACATTATCATCCTTTCATAGATACTAACCTTAGTGAATATCGGGTGGCTTTGGTTCTATAGGTCTTTTTATTATTGATAAATATAAACACATAGAAATAGTAAATTTGGTATTCACAAAAAAGTGCAGAATCTACAAGGAATACACTTATCAGCTATACTGTGTCAAAGCTTGTTTGAAGCATTTCACTTATGGGAATTTTGTGAAAGAATGTTTGATGGCAGTTGTGAACATTCTGTGTACAGAGCAAAATAATTTATTTTCAAATATCTGTCTCTCAAGAACAGTTACATAACAGATAGAAGAACTGACAATATATGTGAAACATTGTGTAAAGGATTACTGCAAAAATGTCAAGTTCTTCTCAAAAGCACAATATGTACAGATACTAAAAGCACTAGATGAGAGTGCAGATACTAAAAGAACTAGATGAGAGTGCAGATGAGAGTACAGATAATAAAGGCAATATGCAGCTTGCTCAACATTCTCCAGGAGTTTCTTCAGCTGGTCCCCATGAAGGGCAATACCACAGGGGCAGACATTCTTGAAGAAATGCTCACATGTACTATAAACATAGCGCTGGATCTATCAAAGCTAGCATACATAATAACTGATGGAACACCAGCAATGGTTGGAGAGAAGAAGGATTTTGTGGCTTTGCTTCAAAGAAAAACTCGTAATAGTCCAAAAAATTTAGGAGGATTGTGTGCTAAGTCTTCTAATTTGAAGGATGTGATGAATGTAGTAGTTAGGGCAGTAACTGCGATCTCCAGAATTAAGCCATTGCCAGTTTCACCAACTTTTGCTGGAATCAGATAATTAATAAGATGCTCGAAAGAATATATGCTCTGAATGAAGAAATAACTACATTCATTGAAAGCCATATGGATGCCTCAAAGCTTCGCAATCTCATATTTTGGTGGAAATAACATCCCATCTCGACAACTTAAACTTGCACCTTCAGGGAAATAAACTGCTGATACATGAGATTTGTGAATACAGCTTCGCCTTTGAAACATAGTTACTGGAATGCGAGCCTCAGAAATCAAACTATTCTCATTTTCCAATAAGAAAAGAAATTACCATAGAAGACTGAAAGAGCAAAGGGTAAATTACCGTTCCTCTAAAAGTCCCCCCCGGTATACCCACAATAGTGAAAATGACTCATGGGGCCAGAAGTAATGAATTAAAAAAAAAAAAAAAAACATCAGGAGATTTCATACAGGCTACATCAAACTTTCCTTTTTAATATCACCAGCACGTTTGAATTTGTGTCTCACTATTAATTTATGTCTAAGTAAAATTTAATAAAGATATACTAAGTATTTTAATTCATTACTTCTGGCCCCATGAGTCATTTTCACTATTGTGGGTATACCGGGGGGGACTTTTAGAGGAACGGTAATTTACCCTTTACTCTTTCAGTCTTCTATGGTAATTTGTTTTCTTATTTAAACAATTTAGGGTTTATGACCATCATTACCCACTAAGTCCCTTTTGTTGTTGACTTTCGGGTCAATCTTAATTTTTTGTTTATTCTCATTTTCCCAATTTTTAAGAGAACGACCCAACAGACAGCACCATATTTGTTGCTGTGATACATGAGTTGAGAGCTGAATGTTTTCTTGTATTGCTGACATTTGTTCTCATAAAGTTGATTCCAGGCTGTTTGCCACTTTGTTTAATGTAGAAGCAGACACCATACCTGAAATTGTTCAAATGGAGCTTACTGAGTTGCAATAAAGTAAACTATTAAAATTTCATGTGGAAATTTGGATATATCTCCCGGAATCAGGGAAATAGAAAAGCTTAGTTGTTCATGCAAAAAAAGTAGCATCAATGTTTGGAAGTATTTTTATGTGCGAGTAAATCCTCTTAACAAAGATGCACAGACGGAACAAGTTAAAACCCAAATGACTGATACTTATGTAAACCCGTTTACATAATGTCCTGCACCTGCCTTGACTCACCCTGTGGCCTAATGTTGAGAGACTTTCAGGCAGCAAACAGCTTCCAACCTTACACTAATTCTTTGGTCCTTTTTTTTAAATTTATTTTTTAATTTAAGTCGAAAAAATATTTTCAAACATGAAACACACAAAGAACATGTTAAATGATGTCCTGCATGTGGCTTCAACCATCCATGTCATGTAATGATCAGATACTTTCAGGAAACAAACAGCATCTAGTCTTGAACAAATTAATTTGCCTTTATTGTATTTTTTTTTTAAATATATTTTCTTAACATTTAAGTCTGAAAATTTCTTCTAAACAATCAAAGACATAAAGAGTAAGTTAAATGCTACGTTCAGAGACTTTTAGGCAACAAACAGCATCACGTTTCAAATGAATTCCTTTGTCCTTACTGATGCCTTCCCCTGCCTTAAGGGTTTAATAGAAAGGAACATTCCAATCTATTTGTTTACATCAACTTCTTCTCATTAGCAAAACAAGTATTTACAAAAAAAGAAATACATTGAAAACAAAAGCATCAAGCAAGGCTACCAACATTAGTTTAAAACTCACTAATTGACAAAAAAACACTTCATAACACAATCATCCTGATTTCGGTAGGCAACACACTCAACTTTATGCCTACTTCTGTTTGCAGTCACTAACTTGTTTTTTCCTCTTTACATCAAATTCACCATACATCCTACAGGGAAAAAGAGATTTATTTCATGTTTAAAAACACATAGGTATAGGTAAAAAAACAAACAAAACAAAAAACCTATGAAGTATGGCAAGCCAGGTCTTTGCAACACCAACAGTGAATTGTAGTCAATTAAAAAATAAATTTAAAAAATTAGACTAAAATAGCCAACCTGTAACCCAGCTATGTTGCCTACATTTTATAAATTGTTTTTTTTAAATTCATTACAATAGAGTAGATTATTAAATATGCACTATACAGGTATTAAAGACCACGTGTATTATGATAGATGCAACAGCTACATTTACAATTCACTATTAACTACAATTCAGTTTTAAATTAATCTTAATCAATAATCATACTCAAGAGAAGAGGTAAAAGCATAAAAATCATTTTACAAAAATTATCAAATCAGTGTAAAACGTTTCCCTAAATTATTTAGATGTATTATCAGTGAAATTACTTTTCCTTTACACTTCTGTGTTGTTAAGTTGTTGTTTAGGTATAACAACTCTACAGGAATCTGGATGCATTAATAGCCCCAGCTGATCTGGGCCGGTGCAAGAATTTTCGTTATACAGGCAAAACTGCATTTTGTCGCCTCCCCTCAAAGTGCCTCTTCACCTGGGTGTCTCTTAACCCCCGTTTTTAATTTCTTACCTTTACCTTAGCCCCTTTTGTGTTTCTTATCCTCTCTTTTGAATGTCTTACTACCTTTTAGTTTATCTTATCTCCTTTTCATGTTTTACGCTTATCCATCTTTTTGTGTGTCTTACATCCCATTGTGTGTCTCTTACACCCCCTCTGTGTGTCTCTCATTGCCCCCTCTATATATCTTTTTCTCCCACGCTCCTTTGAGCATCTCTTAACCCCCCTGCCCCTTTTTGTCTCTTACTTTCCCCAACCCCTTTGTGTGTCTTAACTTTTGTCTGTTGTGTACCTTACCCTCTTTTGTGTGTCTTATACACCCATGTGTGTCTCTTATTAGATTTAGGGTGTAAAAATGAATCACCCCTAATTATTGCACTACATATGATGCAATTTAAACATCTACCATCTAACAAACTATCTACATATATACATAAGTAGCTATAATGTTGCAACAAAAAAGATTCATCTTTGAAATGCAGCAGCAAAGTATGGTATCCTTTTGAATAGGGAATCCTGCAAATCTGCCAAACTAGATATAGCTTTCTAGTGGAAAGGCAGAACAGGAAGAAAGTATATAGAATCCCCATCTCTCCTGGAATCTTGCTAGACAGGAAAGCTAAATTGCAGAGAAAAATATATATAAAAAGTCCTCAATGCATCAAGTTCAAAGCGTGCACAGTGCACAGAGTGATGACACATACGCCCGACGCACGTTCCAGTACAGATCACATGCACCTTCATCAGGGAATTTTACATGTGGGGGAGTCTAGACAGGATCTGAATAAATTTGTGTGCTGTGATTCATATATTTTCTTTATTTTTGGTGCATTAAGTATTTTTCTATTTAGGAATTATTTGTTAACTTCTGTGTTTGAGCAGTGATCTATTGATTTGCTATTTAGTGCGCCTTATCGTCACATATACCAGGCAGCACCCTTCTGTTTTGTCTGGGGAGCTTGCTATCTTTTGTCTATATTTTAGGATATATGCATTTTTTTTTACCCTTCAACCCTTTATTCTGGATATCAGTACATTTCTAAAATATTTATACGTTTCAATTAATAAAACTGACTTCTCGGGAAAGCTTCCAAGAGGCTATTCAGATGTACATAATCATAACCTAGAACTGAATTTTTACGATGTCGACGCACACACATGTTTTGGGGTCAAAGGCCATGTACTGACCAATCACAGCACTGAGAGGCATATTTAAACCCTGTAATGCCTTTTGTCAGTGCCCTGTCATGGTTTCCACTTGTTGGTTGTCAGAGAGCGTGTTCTTGGTAATATTTTGTGGTTTTTGACTTTGGCTTACATTTTCACTTTCCTTACTTCTTGTATCCTAACCTTTGGCTAGTATCTTCGTATTGTCTCAATCTGTATCC